ACAAATTAAGGTACAATACCAAAGCCTTGCTTAAGCCTGTAAACTAGAAGTAAGGAGGAGAATTAGCTTTTATCAAATATCTCTAAGTAAGTACTTACCCTAAATTTACATTAGCTACAGTGTAGTAACCCTGTCTAAGATCAAATTTTTTTGGACAATTCTAGACAGACTTGGAAAATAATTTGAACTTAATAAAATCATAAATTCATTATACATAGAACCTACGAAAAAAAAGAAACAAACAAAGTAATGAAGGAAAATAGGGATTCATCCTAGGGACACTACAATGTGGCAATATTCCTTAGTTATTAATGGTATTTTTGGACCTACATGTAAGTAGAGGCTCTCATAGGGCTGCAAATAGGATTTAACATGAAAAAAGTTTAATTGAAAATCATGAAAGCACCATATGAAAGGCCCTCCACTGTAAATACCCACCAGCTGAAGAAGGTTTGCAGCCGCCAAGAGAGGTACAACAGAAGTAGGAGTTATAATTACTTCATCACAATACAGGGAACCAAATGCTGTATTCAGAGCTATAGAAACAGATATAGTACAGCACAATTAATCATAATTTATGAAATAATTTGTTGAGGGTTAATAGGACAATAAGTTAGAGATTCCACCGACTCTCTACCTTCAATATCAATATTTTCATCTGGAATCTCCAAAGTGATATGGTTTTCATTAGACTCCTTCCATGATCCATTGAACATGCTTTGGAAATACTTGGACTGCAATCCAAATGAAAAGGAAGATGTGAGGAATATATCTCATACTTAGAAAACAAGATCTTCCAGAGTGGATATTAGGCTAACATAGAGAGGAGGTACATTAAATTTTATAACAAATTCATACTTCAATAAAATAAAAGTAAACATATTGCAGTTTATAATATTCTAAATATCAAATATATAATATATTCAAGGATATTAAATTGAGCTTAAGTTTGTGGAAAGTTTCTCAAGTTAAATCCTGCATGGATGTAATCTGGATATTCTTCCAGAAAATATGAAATCACTCAATAATCATCCCAAATGAAAGAAAAGAGGTAATTACTTAATATGTAAGCTACATTTCCACTGATATTTACCTGACATAAGTAGATTTACCTGACTCAAGTAGATCACTTAGTATGTAAGCTACATTTCCATTGATATTTACCTGCACAAGTAGATTTACCTGACGTAAGTAGATTACTTAGTATGTAAGCTACATTTTACTGATATTTACCTGACGTAAGTAGATTTACCTGACGTAAGTAAATTACTTAATATGTGAGCTACATTCAAGGCTGCAAATAACTAATGGGCAGTCGCCGGTCACGCTGTCTAGTCAAACATGCTTTTCCTCGGACACTACCCATTTTTTGGCCGGTCAAATTTTAACAGTTGGAACTCTTGCGATAGTGAACCCAGATTGCACAGTAATCGTTTTACAACTAAAAAACAACTGAATCCAAGTCGGTCTGGCAATAAAAATTACAAGTTAATAATTTACTACTCTTTAATGCAGAAGCTGCCTCGCATTGAGTACATAGAACGGTTACACAAGATACAACAGCAATTGTCCGTTTTACTTTACATCTGGCAAAATCACTTATAATTAGATATTACACTTTGGCGACAGGACTTGATGACATCATGGAAATTTGCGACTGCCAGGAATTTCTCGACCACTAATTTGTCTACTTTTATATTGCTTTTTTTTGTTTTCTTTCGGAAACATGACTGCTGTCCCTTGTGATTATCAAACATTTAAAAATTAAAATTTCTTTGAACGAGTCGGTAAAGGACCGGACAAGATGTCCGGCAATCCAAGGATTTGTCCGGTCAGTACCCAATTTTGACCAGACATTGTCCGTTGACCGGCCGTTATTTGCAGCCCTGACATTTCTACTTATATTTACCTGACGTAAGTAGATTCTGTGAAGTTTCCATTCTTTTCCTGTCATTAACAAAATTAAAAAAAGGAGGAAGTCTAAAATCTAATCTAATGTGTAGAAATTCACAAGGTAATTTCTTACAGTGAATTTATATGCACATTGCTTTATTGTGAACATTGAGTAACTAGTATAGTTGAGTGGTTAAGGCACTGGCCACCTTGCTAGTGAGTGGATTTATTCTCTGATCAACTTCTGTGCTGCACTTTGTAAAAAGCCAACTGGCAGCTGGCCTCCTGCCAGTTTAGATTTAAAACACTACGTTTATTTACAACATTTCTTTTCTTTGTATTAGCCCTGAAAAGTGCTGATGAACACATGCACACACACACGCATGCCCACACATACAAACATTGTTCTGAGAATAAAAATACAGGAAACATGGAGAACCATCAGCTGGAATACATTACTTACCAAGAGCCTCTATTGTGACATCAGTCCCTTCACAATCAAGAAAGAGTGTCTGATAAATGTAGTCACATGTACCCTTTAGCTTTTTCCTACATAAAAAAATAATGGTAAATAAGATGTTCTGTCTTAAAGTAAATGAAAGGGCAAATGATTTAAAACTAGTTGGATGTATGTTTTCTTGGTCTATGATCAATTTGCCACCACAACAAACTTACCACCACGAAACTCTCCACCAGCAAGAGTCAAATTGCCACCCTTGGGGAGTTGACTCAAGCATAATGTTTTAATAGTTTCTTGTATGAAATTTACAGCTAAGTTGTGGGAGGGAATTGCAAAATTAGGAGTACAAACAAATGTGGCAAAAGGTACGCAAACTTTGTGTATTGCATCTAAATTATAGAACATTAACAGTTAGATTACATAAGACATGTTGATATCACAAAGACAGACCAGTCCACATATGGGGAAACTAGATAAAACTGCATGGAATTCACATCAAATGAAAGCTAAGATGAAGTGGCATGTAAAGGGGTCCTTTCAGTGAAGGGAAAAAATGTAACATTGTGCAATTTATCATAATGATTGTTTGATTCTCAAAAAACATGTCACTGTATAATTTCTTATTGTTTCAAATGAGAAAACATGTCAAAAGCCTAGTCTTTGTGCTTCATCATCAAACACCATCTATTTCTCAGTGTTTGGAACTCACCTTTGTTAATGACCCATTTCTGGGTATTACAGGACACAGTTTTCATAAGATGGTCAAGTTACTAAACTTAAAGGAAGTATTTTGAAGTAAATTCAAAGTGCATTTTGAAGCAATTTGAGTACTTGTTAACTCGTCAAACATTGCCACAGAATTTGGGAAATTTAATCACAAAAATTCAAGTTTATGCATTTTAAGAAATACCTTTTGGGGTGTACTTCTTAATCAAAAAGTCTTATAAAAAGTTTTTAGAAATCCAGAGAAAGAGCTTTTAGCAATAATACTTCATTCTGCGATAATATTGATCAAATAATTTTATGAATGCAGCTGTTGGAGAGAACATCACTGACATTCCATAATCGAGACCCTACACATAACTTCTGAGCCCCTTTCCCTTTTCACAATGTACTCTAACATGTTAGCTTTCATTTGATGTAAGTTTCAGGCTTATATACATAGTGTCTGAGTCAAACTGTCAAAGGTAGCGATTTGACTCTCACTGCTCGTGAGTTTGGTGGTGGCAAGTCTCCTGTGGTGACGAATTGACCAGATACCATTTTCCTTTGGCTCACATACAATACCATTATATATGATAGTCAGAGTAGCTTGGACACACCAAAGTAGTACCAATCCAACAAGTTTGATATCATTACATTCAAAATCACTTTTAACTGCTAGAAAAAAAGACTTCATATGCCTTACACAGTACTGAACTGACACTGCCTGGTTCATAAATGTAGCTCAGTCCTGGTATTCAAAATAGATGACCATTAGCTTAATTTCACCAACCAGAAAAATAGAATGGATTCAAGAATATGCACTTAGAGCAGTATTTAATTCCCATTCAGAATTATATGAAAACCTTTTTGGTTCACACAGAGCTACCTTCACTATTAAATCAAAGACTACAAGATATCGCCTTAAATAAATGTACAACTGAGTAAAAAATGTTATCACGTACACCAAGTATTGTGAACGAACTATTTAAGTAGAAAAGCATTAGTTTTTCACCAAGAAACAGAGACTTTAAAATTCCTACTTATAACACTATTAACTATGGAAACATTCTCTTAGATATCAAGGACCTCATATATGGTCAAAACTGGATATTTAATACATTGAAAGGCTCCCTGAATATTGAATTTTTTTAAAAAGAACATTAGGAAAAAAGACCTAGCATCACTCTTAAACAACAATAAAAGCTGCTGCAACCTGTGCAACTCTTAGAGACCACCTTTTATATACCTACTGTTTTAATGTACAAATATTTATACATGTTATTCATATAAATTATATATACATCCTTCATAATTTCTTATTTGTAAATAATTCTATTTTATCTATCTATTGATTTACTTATTTATTTATTTTTATGTCTCCAATTAGTTGTGAAAACTAAATATATTGACCCATAAATAAAGCTTTTACTTCACTTTACTTCTACGAGTAATTTGGAGGAGTCAAACACAAACATCCTTTGCATTTCAATTTTGTTTGGATGTATGCGCGAGGCCAGCTTAAGAGATACAGTTACAGCTATATCTCTTTTTGTCACCCAGTGGAGCAAAATGATTGCATCTTACCTTCACGCTTGACGTAAAAAAATGAAAACCCAACCAATATTCAACTAACTTAGCTATTTACGAAATACCTCTTCACCACATCGACGACCCTATCCTCTTCTGTTTGAACGCCTCCTTCGTCTTCGCATTCCGAATGTTTTCTTTTCTCGCCTACTGTTGATATCGTAGAGCCCATTGGAAAAGGTTCATAAAACTACCAAACTATACAGCTAACATTAAACTGCTGAATTCAGCTTTACCATAAGCGTAACCTTGCAACCAGGTTGTGGTCGTCCATAACTGTTTACAAGTCCACAATTCTTTGCGCTGAAAACAAGTATATTGCAATCAAAAATGAACTATGGGTAATTTGACAGTGGCGACTTCAATTCTCCATGCGGTTTGGTGAATGCGACAAAAAATTGACGCTTTCTTAAGGTGGCAAACCCCTTTTTGGCCAGGTAAGTTGTTCAGAGAGAGAGTTCAGTGCGAAGGAACATATGAGTTGCGCATCTGACCTTGAAAACGGATCGTGACGTTGTAATTCGTCATATGGGGTAATATGATTTTGTTTGATAATTTTCTTGTTTATCCTCAAAAGCCAGATGTGAATAGGACGTTGTAAGTTTCTTGTTAAATTTGACCTACGACGAAGGGAGTAATCTTACGTTTATCCACCATTTTTTCGTTGAAAAAAGGTGGATAAAAGCAATCGCTTCCAACTAAGTAATGCTTCTCACATGTTAATTTGAGTAGTCCATATTTGTAGCTTGAGATTCACAGATTTTTTATTTCATAAACGGGAACCGCTTATTGTTTGTGCAGACAGATGAGGAATAGGATGGTTTAGGGTGTTGCTCGTTGAGGTTTGGTCTTGTTAATTTTATACTAGAGCTGACTTGTGATTCATTTTTTTTTTTTTATCCAGAAAGTTTTAAGAGCCAAAAGTGCCAGAAATTGTTTTCTTCAACCTTGATTCCTCTGAGATTTGTGATAGGACTTGTCTAACAGTGCAAAATATTTGTATCCCTTGTTTAAATTTTGTTCTACTATGGCAACTGCAGGAGATAGTGGTGAATCAGAAAACAAGACCAATTTAATTGTCAACTACATTCCACAAAGTTACACTGATGCAGAATTTAAGGCACTGTTTACAACTATTGGTCCAACCAAGAGCTGCAAGATCTGCCGGCACAAATCAACAGGCTACAGCTATGGCTTTGGCTTTGTGGAGTATTTTACACCCGAACATGCACAGTTGGCAATCGATACACTCAGTGGCCATCGAGTAGACAACAAAACCTTGAAGGTTGCATTGTCAAGAAAAGGAGGAGAGAAGATCAAGGGAGCAAATGTATATGTCCGAAATATACCTAAAACATGGACAAATGATGATCTAAAGGCACTTTTCAGCCCTTACGGCAGCATAGTCAATACTAAAATCCTCATAGACCAGTTTACCCAGTCCTCTAAAGGCGTTGGGTTTGTCTTATTTGATCTAAAGACGGAAGCTGAAGGAGCCATCAATGCCTTAAACAACACCATGCCCCCTGGAGGCACTGAGATCATGTTTGTACGTTTTGCAGATGACAACACAAGTAAATTAAAGCCTCCACTTACAGCTGCTGCATCTCAGCGTCCAAGTTTTAATTTGCATCCACAAGGTGCAATCGGACCCATGGCACAAGCCATGATGAATCGTCGTGCCAACCGCTACAACCCCATGATGGGAGGACCTCAAATTCCTCCACCCACGGGTTTCAGCCAAATGTCTCCTCAGGGTGAAGGATTTACTCTGTTTGTTTACAACATTGGTGCAAGGGCAACAGAGGCAGCAGTTTATGAACTTTTTTCACCTTATGGTGAAATTAAGAAAATCAATATCATGTGGGACTGGGAAAAATCTCAGTGTAAAGGTTTTTGTTTCGTTACTATGGCCACTCTAGCACAGGCTCAAGCTGCAATACTTGCATTGAATGGTTTCATGTATGATCAACGTCCTCTGCAAGTGAAAATTAAAACTCCAAAGATGTAACTATGCATCACACAAAGGGACAAAACTGAAAAAAGTTTATCTGCAGGTTTTTTCTGATAATCTGGTCAGTGTTCACTCAACCGGTAAGTGCCAACATTAAAATGATAAATGCTGTTGAAATTTCATTTTAATTTCTTTCAAATGGATTGGTTTGTTTTCTGTGAGCCATTGCTTTGGCAATTCAAAAATCATGCAAAAAATAACTATGAACATATACTTTTTAAACTGAATTTTTTTTGAAAGACCTCAGTGTACATCTTGCCACAGCCTTGAAAGGTTATTCCTTAATGATATATATTAAAATGCTTGTTAAAGAGGTTAGGATAGTTTTGTTAGTCTTAGTGGTAGTGGTGAAAGGAAAACTATGGTGAGAAATATGAGATTTTCTAATTTGGGAAGGATTGTTACACTAAAAAATACCACTCCTTTCTAAGCAGAACATGCTTTGTGGTGTTAAATGTTCCCTGAACAATGTTACAAAAGTTACAGGTGTAGTAGAGTATGGTACAATACAAATATATTTGAAGCAACATGAAAGAGTTAGTTTTCTACACCAAGGTTCATTAAGACATCAACAATGATTTACTCTGTGATCAATTGTATTAGAGACCATGATACAATGGCAATATTTCTAGGAATCATGACATTGTTTACCTATGATTTGATTGGTGGTTTTCAATCCATTTGCCTTTTCATGCACTTAGATGTGTGTTATAATGAATGAAGACAGCAGGAATTGTAATTATTTCGATTTGCATTGCCTTTGAACGTCAGTATTTCAGATAATAGTTTCTAGTACATTCAAGCTAATGGCCAGTGTAATTGTTTAATGTTGTGGTTCATTTTATCTTAGCATTCAGTAGTTAGTTAAAACTTAAAGGAACTTATATTTGCATCAGTTCTCAGCAGTAGGCATACTTTTAAAACCTCCAAATGATTTGTCCGGGTATGTAAATCATATCTAAACCCACTTAATTGATATCATCTAACTGAAACTAGAATAGAAAATTCTTCAAAGACATGTAAGTGGAGAGCAGTTTCTTTTCTTGAAGATGTACATGTACTCAATTTTTTTCCAGCTATTAATTATCACTTTTTGTTTTCCTTTTTAAAAAATATTGGTGATCGTAGTTTTCATGTATCTGTTAAAAGCAACTGCACAGATGCCTCTTTAAAAACCCAAAAAATCAACTTTATGTTACTGTACATTTTGCCACAGTGCATCTTGTGTTACTGTACATTTTGCCACAGTGTATTTTATGATTCAAGGGTTCATACTCTTTCAAACTTGTGGACTCAGATGACTTATGATGACATTTTCTTGAAAGACTGAAGTTTTTACATGACATTTGACCGAGATGTTGGTTTCAAAGTACAACATTAATAAAAGCTCCATATTACATTAATTGTTGCTTATCTCGTCAATTTTCTCTAGACCTGGATGTTTTATGATTCCATGATTTTCAAGGTTTTCAATGCTATGTGAATACTTGCACGTGCTAATCATAAAAGATGTTAAAATAAGAGTATTCATTACATTACTCGAAGCACTGGTGGGCAAGATGAAGCAAACCCTGTGTTGTGATTGGCTACCCAAGCGGGCAAGATGGGGCCCATCTTGCCCATTTAGGATTGCCCACATTTATCCTGTGCATGAAAAAAATAGAATTAGAACTATGTTCATAATTCTTGGACAAACTACAAAAGCAGTTGGCTTTCTTTCTCAGCTCTCGAAGTAAACAAGTCATTAATCTTTCTTAAATTTTAGTAAAGTGAAATCCTTTATTAACCAAGCTTGAGCAGTCAAGATGGCTGAATGTTAGCATTGTTCTTTTTTCACAGTTTTATGGAACTCAACTTCGTCTCAACCATAAAAATGCACAAAAAGAACTTGGCCAATATCCAGCCATCTTGGCCTTACCCTTGGTTAATAACACATATGTATTAAAGCTGATCCAGTCAGACTATAGAGACTGGATTATAACACTTACACTCTATTTAAAATGAAATGACAACAAGCTGTTGTTAAACAACACAGTTTACTCTCCTTTTTTTATTGAAAAACAAATATGCTTCACTCACTCTCTCACTTTCAATAGATGTTAAGTTCATTTGGAGTTAATTAATATCACATGTATTTATTCCCACTGTTGTGTGAGGAGAAAGTCATTGTTTCCCTTCATTACTCTTGCTGGTTCCCCTTTGACCTTTATACTTCTAAGAACCATAAGTGCACCTTGTGCCCTCCAGCTGAGGCACACACAGGTAAAAAAGGGTGCCAAGAGAGACCTCCTCCAGTCCGCATTTGGCATGACACTGGGATCTATCCAGAAAAAATTGGAATGAAAGTTGAAATTAGTGAAACTCATATTTCTGCATGGGGTACATTTTGATTCAGTTTTTAAAAACAAAGACCAGAATAACGTTACAGGGAAATAATTAATGGTAATTGAACTGAGTGGAGCGCAATATTTGGTCTGCAGTCATACCCATGATTTCAGAATTGAATGGGAGTTTGATTTGAAAACAAAAGTATGATTTCAGACCAAAATTGCATCATGAAGTTAATTACCACTTGATAACATCCATTTCAAAGCCACAAAATTCCATTCCTCAAATATAGGGTTTTTAAGTCTGCACAAATATTTTAGTAATCCAGTACTGAGCTGGTTTGTAAAGAGATGCAAAATTTATCCTTCATTTTCCTGCAATTTGATTGGTGACTTTAAACAAGCCTTAAAATCTGATTGGTCATTTTGTTTCAGTGAAGGTTTCTCATTGGCCAGGAAAAGATGCAATTCAGGGCAAAAAACATTTAAAACGCACTCATTTTTGGCCAATCAGAAGCAAATAATTTTTTTAATGTATATTTTTAAGAGAATTACTTGATTCACAACAAATGAGTTAGAGAAGGACATTTTGAGAAGTCCAAACAAGAGAACACAAATTCACGCCTGATAAGCATGAGAAGTTTCCTTTCGACTGAAGGTAGAGTAAGTATATTATTGTGGGAGCTTACCTTAGCAGATCAACAAAAATATGCAAAAATTGAAACCTATAATTTACTTTTCTTCCTCATAAATGTACTGCTTCAACAGAAAATCTCACTTTAGTTCCCAACACAAATTTCAGTTGTCTCAAACCAAAACTACTTGTTCTCACAAAAAAAAAAAAGGCCATCCACATACTTAATCTCCTACAAATATTATCAACACTCATGGTAGTATGATTTGAAACACAATCTACAGCATAGCACTTCGCTTGATAGTGTTATCAAACCTGTGAATAAGGAAGATGAAGGGTGAAATGGACCAGAAAAAGGAAAAACTCAACCAACCTTGTGGTGCCCCATGTGATAAACATTGATGTGGTTACCAGGACAACCAGTTGTAGCAAACAGATTCTCATGCACATGTGACCATCTATGGAGTAAAACAACAGGTTTAAGGGATTTTTTTTTAACCACAGTAGCAAAGCTCTTTTATTATGGACTGGACCCATCCTATCATTCGTTAAATTTTATACGGACCATTCAGAATTCATACCATTTGCAAACACCTCTTAAACCCAAAACATAAAATTAATCTGTGTAATTCACTGTTACATGTTATTATAGGAGTCAGTCAATCATTCCTTTCCTTGGTATTGCAGATTATCTTGACTAGAATTACAATTATGGGCAGCCAAGGATTATGTTGACCATCAAAAATAGGAAATGACTACAGGCACCAGAAACAAACATATAACCTTATGTGCCATTTAATTACCTAAATTTGGATACTCCTTTTAAATGAGCCTGTTCCACAACTTCTGGTAGACTGTGATAAAATAAATAAAAAGCTATCACTTAAAATAATTATCAATAAAAATTTAACAATTGATGTAATCATTTGTCTCACGCTGTATTGGTTTTGGTGTGGATCCTTATGCTTCAACTGTGGAATTGTGAAATACAAGTTGTTTATTGATTGTGATCCCCATGTTATATAATTATGTAGGGTAAGGAAGTAATTCACACAAAACCTCACCTCAGTGAGACAGTGGAATAAAATCTCCAGAAGTATGGATGGATCTGACTCACAACAAACTGCACCAATCACAGCTGTTTCAAACCAGCCAATCACAACAAAGCATAATGTTTCATCAAGTTACACACACAAATCTAACCATTGGGTGAAGAGGATAAGCAGTACATAGTCAAAACATTATGTCCCAGACGAGAAGTGACTACAATAATGATGCATAAGCTTAATTAAATTTCATTACAAAGAATAACCACAACCTTTTCAACAAAGTCTTTTCTGATACAAATATTGTTGTTTTATACATGTCAGGGGTTTCAATAAAAGTCATATACAGGACATCCAAGACTGCTCATTACACCTCTTATCGCAATCTGCTTGCTTGCAGGCTCTTGTGTTTGGGATTCACCTTAGGGCACTTTTTCCAAGCACAGTTTCCCACAACATCAGCTGCTTATGGGAAAAGTTACTGAAACCACTATTTACAGTTAAAATAACCATCAGAATTTTTGTGAAGTGATCCAGACTTGATATATTTCACAGGGATGCAATAAACATTATCACTCAAATGACGTAATAACTGACTAAAGTTAACAAACATACCTTGACTTTGACATATCCCAGATCAGCCAGTCATCCTTAGCTACTGCACCAACTTTCAGAGCATTGGTCTTGCACCAATCAGCTGAGATTAGAGGCAGCTGCTCAGTACTGAGGGACATGATGGGCTGCTGGCTCACCAAGTCATAAAATCGTATTATTCCATTCTTTTCAGCCACCATCAGCTGATAATACAAATTAAATATCATGGTTATTCTTAAATTAAAAAAAAAAATGAAAAAAATGTTATGATCCTTCTGAGTAGTCTTTTGGGGTAAAATTTTCCAGTTTTCAGTATGAAATGAAAGGAGGCTTGACCAATCTTTCTGGACTAAATTACAATAAATTTTTTAAATTCTTCAGCACACACTTTTTTTTGCAACACGTACTCGAACTTTTATCCCCTCCCTATTTTAACCTCAGTGAGCCATTATATTCTTTACTGAGACTTTTATCATAATATAATGTACTTTTGAGGTATGTTCAACTTACCCCACCATTTCCCCCAAATTAAAAAGTAGAATGATCCATCTATCAACATGAGGTTACTCACATCATGTCAAGATTGAAAATCTTAACTCTAATTCAAAGACAATTCATTAGCATCATTTCTTTGGTCCCAAGATTTCATATTTGTTGTGTTCATATTTAAAATCCAAGGGAGGTATCGGACTAAGAGTGTTGTTATTTCAAGAAGTTAGCTTATTTCAGTCCCAGAAATCAGAGAAAATCTTTGCCTCAATTATCCTTTTGACTCTCATGAATGACCAAGACAAAAAAGAAATACTTATGAGATCTCGAGAGTGAAAGGATAACCACATTGCTGACAGACAGACAGACAATTAAATAAAAATGAAAGACATTCTAAATTTAGAGATCTATGTCATGACAGAACATCCAGGGCTTAGTAACAAGATTACATTATTTCTGTTATTTTAGCAAGGACATTACCGTATATCAAATTTGTCAATAAATTCAAATCATTCAAGTTAACCTTGTTTGGTTCTACAGGATTCCATTTGACACTCATTCCTGCTGATCCAAGAGGAATGCATGTTTTCTCTGCTCCAGTCTCCAGATCCCATAGCCGACAAGTATGGTCATCTGTTAAAAAGTATAATTATATATATGTGGATGTTTGATTTATTCTAGAATAAATCAAATTTTTGCAACCTTGTATGAAGGTTTAATCATTTTATGATTATCAGTGAGTACAGAATATTACCTGAAATATCATTGGAACTGTCAATAAATTTGAAAGTGGAGGGAAATAAGAAGTAGCAGGCAGCCAGCCAGGTTATTGTGGATCCCATAGTGTTGGGTCAGATTACATACAAGGCCAGTAACTATTTATTCACAAAGCCCAATGCATTCCAAGAAGTTCGCAGGAACCTTTTTGTTAATTCTGAAAGTGAAACTTTTTCTCACAACTAAACCTGTCCCAAGTAAATTATACATTCAATTCCACTCAAATCTGAGAATTGGCAACTGTACAAATTTCTTCTATGGTACTTCAATAATTGCACAGTTTTCCATCATCAGTTATGGTTACTGTAAAATGAGATGAAAGGACGGTAGTCAGTTGAAGATGGCAGACCACTAAGTGGTTTTGGCTTTTTACCAGCTCGTATTGACAGTTCTGCATCATTGCAATCCTTTAAATAGAGTGAAAAAATGATTTCAATCCTAGAAAGCTTGTAAATGATAATTTAATGAAAGGAGAATTTGTCCAACTTTTGCCATATGTATCAGTCAATTAATTCAAAGTGCAGTAACCCAGATCATTACCTTAGGAAAGGAAATTTGGTGAGAAGGAAATTTGGCGAGAAGGAAATTTGGTGAGAAAGAAATTTGGCAAGAAGAGTGGGATACTTGTGCAGGGTTAATCAGAACATAACGCAATGTTTATGGTACAATGGATTTCTGTAATGTTCAATGCTGAAAATTTCAATCCAAAGAGAACTCAAAACCAAGTCCAAAAATTACTTTTTAATCCGAATTAAGATTTTCCAAAACATTTACACTGCACAGGGACTACCACCTACCAGCTTCATAGTCTGTTGCACATGAAGTTGAATATTTTTATAGAAACAGCGTAGTATAAATTTAAATTTAAATTTTAATAAGAATAAATTTAAATTTAATAATAGTAATGACCTACATCTATCATTACGTAACTGTTGCTTACCACTGACACTGGCAACATTGAGGCCAGACACTGGTTCAATGACACAATCATTAATGTAACTTAGATGTCCTTCTAGAGTGGTCACTGTTGATGAATCCTTGCCATCAGATGTGAAATATCGAAGCTTCCTGTCTTCTCCTGCAGTACAGAACCTAGAGTATTTTAAAAATACTTCATCGTACCATATATAGAACCTGGAACAAAGAAATCTAACCAAGTAGATGACAAACCAATGAAGCCGAAGGTTGAAACTACATACAGTTTGGATCTTTTTAAAGATGTAAAGAATACTTCTTGTTTCTTGAACCCCCTAATCAATAGTGTGCACCTTGTCAAGCAACACAAGAAAAACTGTTTTTCCATAATATGAACAGATTTAACATATGACAAGCAGCCACAAACCACTTAGACATTAGTATGTAGTATCTTATACATCAGTATGGTGTATTTACTTTTTGGTTTAAAGAAAACTTATCATCTCTTACCCATATCTTGACTCTACCTTTTATTAACTTGAAGGTACCATACTAATTTTAAGAGTTCTTTGGCAATGGTTTTTTTCTGTCTGAATTATTATGCATTAAAATCAAAGCTACCTTTAAGCATTCACTTACTGGAAAGAATAAGGCAAATGTTGAATGTTTGTTTTAGGAGACCAGGCAATAGAAAGAACCCTTGTTCCATGATGAAAATCTGTAATATGTTTAAACTGCAGAAGAGGAAGGTGACTGTCTTGGGCCTCCTCTTGGAAAAGACACATGCCCAGTGCTACTCTGTTTTCACCTCCATAAGCAATTATACCTGCTGCCTTGTCAAATGGACAGAACTCTACGACATTCACATCTTGTACACTCTCGAAAGAAAATGTGCTGGGTACAGCTCCATTTGCCGATGGCATTTTGTTCCTACCAAATTTAGAAAGTACCAAATTGAACTGACTATAACTGCGTTTCATATGACAACAGAAGTATTTCAGGAAAGTTTATAGCAACAAGTTAGACTAAAAAAAAAAAAAAAACAAGGAAAATCACGCTCGAGAGCAGTATAACATCTACACATAGATATCTCCCGGCAAGTGCTGTGAGCGACAGCGAGTTGCGAACTTCATCTAGCGAGTTGTTGATATTATTGGCTGCTAAGTACTAAAAAAATGGCAAATACTATCAATGAATTTTTATAAACGTATACGATAAACTTACCCTACTAGACGAGTTCTATTCCTTTAGAATTAGGGGAACTGACCAAACCATGTCACTGGCGCCATTTTCAAAGCTCGTGGACTGTAAAATCGAGCAGGCATTCCAAACGATAAAAAATGTGTAGACTGGGAACGAGCGAAAAAATAACTCACCAAGTACCCAATCCTTGTCTGGATCAATTATGGAAGATTGACAGAGTCGTAATAGGATCAGAAGCCACAGAAGAAAGTATTCTATAAGGCAGTAAATACGAGTTCATACGTGAGCACTTGTTATATGAGAAGCCCTTGGTGGCCTTCTCCAGCGAACCAATCAAGATTTCTCAAGGACGAGATTGTAAACTTGCCAAAATGAAATGCTACAAATTGTTTCAGCACAGGATATACAGCCTTTTGTCTCCCAACTGAACGGCAAGATGCGATCCATTGTCAATCGTTGCGTAACCAAATTTACGTTGGCTGTCAGTAATTTTGTTCTAGCTGTTTAGCTTATTCCTGTTAGTTTGATAAGCTATTCAGTGTCAGAAGCTTACAACTGGTTTAAAACTATCAGTCTTTTGTTCTCTCCACACAACTCGCTTCGACTAAGTTATACTATACCAAGACAATTTGGCCGGTTTTATCGTTAAGAGTTTCATCAAAGCTGAGGTTTCGAGCATTAGCCTTTCGTCAGAGCATCGTAACCCTTCTTCCATTCTTCCATTCGTGGGTTGACGCTCGACACGTCAGCTTTGAAAAAATTATTTACAGTGACCAATTTCTTTTTTTTCAACTCAGTTGATAAGACCAAATTGTCTTGTTTTGCTCCCCCGCGGACGCAGCACCAATCAATCAATCAATTTATTTAAACGCACACGCGAATACAGTGTGCTAGAGAATATTATAATTATTACAGCAGCCGGCTACAGTAGTGTCACACCACAGTTTTTTTTAGAAACTTACGCCCTTCGTTCATTAGTTATGCTATGTGCGAGTGAGCTGCGAGTTGTTTTTGTACTTTATTTGTAACCGGACTTTAAAAATAAAAAGTACAGTTTACCGGTGTTTGAATTAGTATGGCTTTACCTTGTCAATAAGTACCCGCGCGGGAAGCCACAGTATTCAGAACATTTGAAGTAAGTGCGTAGTGTAACAATCATACAACTCATACAGAAGAAAGACCCTGAAATGTCGTTCTAACTGCACTCCTAATGAGTGTTTTTAAGGCTGTTTTATCTTCAAATTTAGTTTGATTGAAAATTCCATGGTCACTTTGACGGTTTGCTTATTTACAGGAAATCAGTTCTCGTTTAGGTAAGGAGATAAATAAAGGAAGAAAGTTGAACTGTGGATCTCACTGTGGTCCTGGCTCTGTAAGAGGGTCTTAATGGGGTTAACCGATAGGCGTAAAATGGCCAAAAATTTAGTCGATAGACGTAAAAATTGAAAAATTTTTAACCGTTAGCCGTAAATGGGGTCAAAAGAGGTAACCGAAAAAAAAAATTGTTCCCAAAATTTCTTAATTTTAAGGAAGGTGCTAAACTTACTTATGACCTGTTTCATTTCTTATTTTGCTGACTTTGACTCCGTACATGTCGTACATGTGGTTCATACGTTTATAGGCCAAGCTCGTTTCAAGGACCCCCGGTAGTCTCCCTTGACCTCACTTGGCCTGCGTTTTGTAGGACAAGTTGACAGCTTTTTGTTTTAAGATCTCCAATTTCTTCACCCAGTGTGCATGTGAGTTGAACGATGTCGGTATTGAAAGCTGTTGTTAGTTTTTATCGAACGGGTGAGGAAAGGCCAAGCGAAAGATACAAGGCAAGACTCAAAGTCCAAGAAGAGCATCGGACACTTTCAGCGTTCAAGAAAAACGTTATTGACTTTCTTGGTCTTAACGAGCAAGCCAGGAAGTTCGGTCTTGGGCAATTTGACCTTAAACTTTACCGCCTCGCCAAAATCAGCGGCAAGATAGAAAATTATTCTTTATCGACCCAGCAGCAGCTAGATCTGGAACTACCCCTGTTGCTTGACTCAGATAGTGAAAGCGAGCTGAACAGTAAGTACTCTTAAAGTTATGAATTTTGTACGTGACTACTAGGATGCCGCGTGGCAAGAAATTTTTGCGGGTCTTTTATCTTGCGGATTGCAGAAACTAAATTAGCTCCCCACATGTTTGGGGAGCTAATTGTTTCGATAGCGAAAGACTGGTTTTCTTACTGAGGATTAATATTTGTTATTTTCAGGAGATCGCGAGCTTGAAATACCTGAGTAAAGCAACTAGCAGAGATGTCACTGTTTGCAAAACGCTTACTGTTGATCACTAAGGCATGGGTCGCACTTGGCAAAGTTTGGTGTGAATGTGGTCACTTTGGTGTAAAAATCTGTCATCGGGGCACATTGCCTAATGCGACCCTAACTTTTCCAGTTCGCAAAAACTTTGAAAACCGGCCAAAACATCAAAGACGCCGTAGTGCTTGGGTGGGGCAGGTAGATTTCGGAAAACTCGGGCTAAACAATAGCTATCACAGCGGTAACTGTCATCGCTTGTCAGTAAACAGCAAACGACTCGACTGGTCGCGGAACTGACCAGGCATATGGCGCTCGAAGTAATCTTCGCTGACGTCGATTTCTCGCTCTCATCATAGCGGCAGTCAAAACAGTTAAACAGGCGTTAACCCATCTTTCATAGATCATACGAAAGACAAAAAAGTGCTCGTGATTTAACTGAATAAGAAGAATAAGCATCACCGTGATCGTTATTAACAATGCTTCAACGGGACGCATTTTTTTAACGTTTGTTTTCCTTTTTCAGCTCACTGCTCTCTCCCCATA